GGACGGGGATCGAACCGGCGACCTTCCGGTTCCAGGACGACTCCCCTAACCACTCTACCACAGCCGCCCTTCAGTGTTGCTAACACTAACACTGCACTACGAACAATGAGGCATCGTGGGTCAGGGAACGCGAAGCATCTTGTCTCCTTTAGGTTGTGGCAGGTTTTTAACAACGCTGTAACAAAATTATAAGTATATCATCGCAAAACCATGACTGAATGAGCTGCCCTTGAAATTGTATAACAGCACCATCTTTATTTCAGGGTCTGTGCTCTGTTCCACCACTGTCATTTCTGTCCAATAGGAGCAATGACCATCACCTGCGTGGCTGTGTTTATAAATTATAGTCCACTTGCAAAAAGCACAATGTGAATGCAAACCACACCAAAGGAAAAAAAAAAAGTCCACTATTTGGTCTGGACCAAACAAGTGGACCAAAGAACTTTCCTGGTATGAATACACACTCTCTCATTCCACTATAAATTTTATGTCAGTTAAAATTGAACAAAAGAAAAAGTCATGATTTCCTACAGCTCTTTTTACAATGAACTGATACAATAAAACTGCATAAACCAAGTTCGTTTGTCTTTGTGAATCGGTGCTTGTTTAAGTGAACACCTGTGTGTGTGTGTGTGTGTATTCGTACACCTACCTGTATATCTTACGATGGTACAGATCACACCAGAACATCTTGTTTGTGGACACATCGACATCAAGGGCCACAGCATTCTTCAGTGTTGGAACCACCTGTGTGTATTCACTCTTTAGCAGGTCGATGCGACGGATCTCATGGCGGTTTGTGAACATCAGGTAAGGACTTTTTCCTGACAGGGAAGGCAGAATGTTCGTGTCATTATACATGTGACGATTCTGACATTTGTTCACAGCTAGACACTGAAAAGACAAGACGTAGGCTTCAAAGAACAAGGCAAGGGAGGAGATCCTGTGGGATTCTTGAAAGACTATGGTGACACCAACTAACACTAAGTTTGGTAAGTTTTGTAGTTAAAGCCCTTAAATCTATTAAAAAAATAAATTCTTAAATCATCATCATGTTATTCAATTAATTTCCACATAGTTGTGCAGGGAAGTATTACACAATAYGTCAACCTAAATAAAAAGACATCAGAAGGTGCCCTGCCAAGTAATTGCAGCTTTCCTGCTGCTATATGAAATGACGAAGCACAGTACACTGGTGAATAAAGTGACCCAAAAACCAAACATGACACATTGTTCTATATTTGGTRTAACAATGTGTCAGAGGAGTGTTTCTGTTCTCTCTGATAGCAAATCCATCAGTTCCCCAGGGCACRTTTTTCACCAGACAGCATGACTAAAGGATCTGAATACCATTCAGTCAACAGGATTTCCTTCATCTTTAGTGTACAAAAATATAAACGATATTTTCATTTGCGTAYATGACAGTATAAGGAAGAAGCACCTAAACAAAGATATGTGAAACTGCACAAAACAGAAAATGTTTTATTTTTTTTACTTTCAGGAGGGTGTTTGAAAAGAGAGTCCGATTAATGGTCGAACCTCAGGTTCAGTAGGAACAATGCAGGTTCTGTCTCGGCCGTGGAACATTAGAACTGCTCTTTACCCTCACTAGGGTCCTTGAGGGGTTGTGAGAGTTTACCCATCCAGTCTATATTTGTTTTGTGGACTTGGAGAAGGTGTCCGACYGTGTTCCTTGAGGTACTCTGTGTGGGGTGCTCCATGAGTATGGGAATGTGRGTTCATTTTTATGGGCCATTTAGTCCTCATACAAGCGGTGCGAGAGTTTTGCTCTCATTTCCGGCAGGAAGTCGGACCCCTTCAGGGTGGAAGTTGGACTACGTCAGGGCTGTTCATTGTCACTGATTCTGTTCATAACTTTCATGGACAGAATTTCTCAYTGCAGCCAGGGAGGTGGAGGGAGTCCRGTTCATTGGCCTCAGGATTCCATCTCTGCTAGTTGCAGACGTTGGCGTCACCATGCCGTGATCTTCAGCTCTCACTGGAGCGGTTTGCAGCAGAGTGTGAAGCGGTTGGGATGAGGATCATTGCCTCTAAATCTGAGTCCATGGTCCTCAGTCGAAAAAGGGTGGATCTCTCTCTCCAAGTTGGGGTTTGTTCACAAGTGATGGAGGGTGAGATTGATAGAYGGATTGGTGAGGCTTCCGCAGTATTGTGGACTCTGTACTGGTCTGTTGTGGTAATAAGGGAGCTGAGCTGTAAGGCAAAGCTCTCTTTTTACTGGTCGGTGTACGTTCCTACCCTCCCCTATAGTCACTGACGTCAGGTAGTGATTGAAAGAATGACATCATGGACACAAGCAGTCAAAATTAGTTTTCTCCACAGGATAGCTGGACTCTTCCTTAGAGACAGGCTGAGAAGATGCTTCCCTAGGGAGGTTATTCAGGCATGTCTGACTGGAAGGAAACCCCCAAAGAAGACCCAGGACACGCTGGAGAGGCTATTTCTTGTTTGGTTTGGCGATTTTTTTTTTTTCATTTATTTTACTGTTATTTTACCAGGCAAGTCCCATTGAGATCTCAGATCTCTTTTTCAAGGGCGGCCTGGGCCTGGAAGCAACCTACTGTACATGTTTTTAGGGGTGGGGGAAAACGGAGTGCCCGGAGAAAACCCACGCAAGCACGAGGAGAACATGCAAACTCCACACAGAAAGACCGGGGATCGAACCCAGGACCTTATTGCTGTGAGGCGTCGGTGCTAACCACTGAGCTGTCGTGCTACTGGGATGCTTGGAATCCTCCCAGAAGAGTTGGTTGAGATGACTGGAGAAAGAGAGGTCTGGGCCTCCCTGCTCAAGCTGCTGCACCCGCAACCCAACTCCGGATAAAGCGGGAGATAATGGATGGATGACTTTTTTACTTTTGGAGTTAACAAATATTATTCGTTTGGCTAAATGTTAATGTTTAATCCTGAACTGCTCTTTTTTCCTCATAATGTCACTCATTATATACTGCAAAAAATGTCCACCTAACCAAGTCTTAAAATCTTATATCCAGCCAAAAAGTCTTTTTGATCTTGTTTTGAGACTGATTTACTAAACAAGAACTGATGGAGTAAGAATAATAATC